GTGGAGGTATTGAGGGTCCAGGAAAGATCCTCAGAGAGATGGACACCAAGGAACTTGAAGCTCGCCACGCGCTCCACTTCAGCCCCATCAATGTAGATGGGAGCGTGGTCCTTCTTAGTCCGCCGGTGGTCAACAATCAGCTCTAGATATTGCCCTGTAATAAAATTATAGTTTATTGAACACAACATTAACATACAGGGTTTGTTGTTACACTTTGTGGTTACCTGGTTACCATTGTTGTCTCAATAGGAACCTGCCAAACACAAAACAACTGATGAATAAGCAGAGCATGAAAAGAAGATATCAATTTTCAATTAATAAATTGTATAAAAATACATCATTTAAAATATGACTTGCAAAAATGTGGCAACCTGCCTTGACATTAAATTAAATATGCTTTTTGACATTAAATTAAATTAACATTTTTAAACATACTTTAAACGTGCTGAGAACAGAGTTAACATTTTGCTGTTAAAATCTGTTTACCTATATCTGGTTGTGTTTTTAACATATAGTTAATAATAACCCGTTTCATTTATTTATTTTTTTGATAATTTAAATAAACCTGAAATAAAACAACATAAATATTCAATTAAAATATAAACAAAAATTTGAAATGTTTTAAGTTGAACTACCTAAATTTCTAAAACTAAAGTTCATTAAAACATTAATGAAAACTATAATAGAATATAAATATTACTAAAATAACAACAGGATTATTTCATTTATTCTCCATTGTTTAATTCATTTTTAATTTACAGTCTTTTTATGATCTGAATATGGTGGTTAGAGGGTCACTTCAGAAGCAGAAATCAAGACTTGAAGCCCCAGCGCATGACCTAAAAGTTCTGCAAGTGGTTCTTCAATAAAATGCTATGTAATTTGCATAAATAATAGCTTTGGTTCATTATGCCACCGTGATTGAAAACACACCCACACACGCTCCCATGTTCCCGCAGGAGCAGCAGCAGGGTAAACACACGGTGAGGAGTGACTGATGTCCGTACTGCGCTCTCAGAGAAGGAGGAAAACAGTAAGGACTTACATGGTGAGTCACGGCTAATCCCTGTAACCGCAGAAACAGAGGCAGAGATTGTGGTGCCTGCGTGATGTGAAGGTTGTTCTCAGACAGCCTGCTATTCTTAGGCTGTCTGCATTCATCCGAGATGGTGCAAAGTTTATTTTTCCCCCTTTTCTTCTAAAAACGTACAAAGCAAAGTGAAGTAATTACAAACTTTCTCAGTCTTCTCTGTGGCGTTTCCTGTTGTTGATGTGATGTTTCTCTGTTCCCACTGTTTGCTGTGATGGTCAATGCTATATATCTGCGGTCTGGCCTGCATCCTCGCCGTCTCTGGAGAATAATCAATCTCACTAAAGGAAGAAATTCATGTGAAACTCAACTTCAGTTAGTGTTTTTATTAACCGTAATATCTAAAACAATTTCAATATACTTATTCTGTATCCTGGATACTACAAGGGCATATATACAGTAATGCTATACAGCACCTCTGTTGACAAGCTTATTAAAGAATTATTTGCCAAAAAATGATTGTCATTAGTGATGATTTACTCACCCTCATGTTGTTTCAAACCTGTATTACTTTTTTTCCTCCATAGAACTAAAAGGAGGTGAAAGTGAATGGCAAGTAGGGTCGGTCAAGTTCAGAAAAGGACAAAAAAGGGTTGAAGTACCACAAAAATGGTCCATATATGTACATTTATATATTTATTTATTTTTTAGGTGCTTTTATTTGAAGCAATTTATAAATTAAGAACTTCACAAGATGTTCACAAGAACCTCACAGAGCTAGCAATACGACATAAAAAAAACAAACTAGAGAACTTGTGAACGATTGTACACTATATTCCAAGTCTTCTAAACTCATAGAATAGTGTTATGTGAGGAACAGACTACAATTCATTACTCCCAGATCATTTTCCCTGCTACTGTAGCTCACAAATCTACAGATCTAAATTTACATTTGGTGCATCCAGATTGGTTGACACACAAGATTCGAGACACACAAGAACTATGGCTTGAGGGTAATTTAAATCATGTTGTAATTTTCATTCTTAAGGGGACTATCCCTTTAAATTTTAGTATTTTTCTCGCAGAAACCTATTACATGACTTCGGTAGACTAAGAATATAGTGCAGTGTTGTATGGACTGAGCAGCAGGAACATTGTACCTAATAACTCGTTTTTGACAGCAGAAAGAAAATACGAAAAGTTTGAATCAACGTGAGGGTGAGTAAATTATACAACTACTTCTTTAAATAACATAGTGTGGATCAGGGGAACATGAAGCATCTGTAAGAACAGTGTAGTCTTGTACCTGTTATCATTTCCTGATACAGTTAACACTGCAACAATCACAGCTCCTCATCTCTCTCTCTTCATCCCTTCTGTCTGCACATTACGCTACACCCAGTCAGGTGCTTCTTGAGGCCAAAAATAAGTTTGCACAAATGGCTCGGGGACTCTAATGAGCTACATGGGTCCTGTGCAGAGTTCACGAGGCTGGAAGCTCTGCGATCTGCTTACCTCCCCAGAGTGAGGATGCTCTCCATAATCGATTACACTGAACAGGCGTCACATTTTTATTATCTACTGGAGTGGGCTGATCTTTCACAGTAGCCTCTAATCTAATTGGAGATGGCACCAATTCCCAGCAGCACAGGGCAGGCAGACAGACGCACATCACTGCTGAAATCAGTGGTGCTGTGTTATAAATCAGCTCCAGTTCCCACATGCACCACATAACCACACCAACCTGCCCTGCTATCACAACATTATACAGTCTCAGCACCTGTTGTGTATAAGGCCAAGGCTCAATGTAGTTCAGCCCAGTGAAGTCAAAGTATATGCCATCTCAGAACATGATGAGAGAAACGGCATTTTTCCAAATGATAGAGTATTCTCTCAGTAAGTGAAAATGTACAGTTAACCTGTCATTATCACAAAATAAACTGTGACAGCGTGATATTTTCATCCGCCAAGATGACAGCATTACATTAATGGCGTCATTACGTGATGGCGAACAAGATCTGGTGAATCTTTTCATTTTTTTAACTGGCTCATTGGAACAAAGGACATGTCCCAATCCCCACACCTGCAGTACTGACCTGCGCATGTACCCACGACAGTGAGCAAGAGTCTGGCAGGTCAGAAAAATACCAAAGCTCAGGGCCCTTAATGTACACTAAATCTGCTCTAGGGACTACTGTACAGGCATTTAGAAGTTTATTTTAAAGTTTTGAAAATCAAAATGCGCAAATAAAGCACTGTAAAAACTTTACTTGCAATACACACTTTGCTTGAAAACTTGAGTCAAATACAGGAAATTTGTCATGCAAGTATATAAGTGGACAAGTGCAAAGACTGAAACTATGTATTGAGACAGGCCCTAAAATTCTGGGGGGGGGAAAAAAAGGTTAACGGAAAAGAATTGCTAGTGATCAGGACTTGACTCAGACAACACCCAGCTAACAAGAAACGTTTTCAGAATTTTAGCTAATGTTCTAGTAATGTTAATAGAACATAAAGTTATCAGTTATAAGTTTTTTTTTTATCAGGTCTTTGTTAATATTTTCAAAACGTTAGCACAAAAACATTATAGTTAATTTAATGCTTTTCTTCTAAAATATTTATTTATTTATATATATTTTCTCAAATATATATTTATTTGGACCTGTTTCAGAACATTTAGAAAACATTCAAGTAATATTGCCATAATGTTTGCGAAATGATAAAATAAAATATTCCCTTTTAACCTTCGTATAACCAAGAAAAAAAAACACATTTTAAAACATGAAAAAATGACATTTTCATTTCATTCACATCATTTCATAAACGAGTATTCCAGAACGTCAATTTTAAACATAGTAATGCCTTTATAATTTTTGTTAGTGTTGTCTGGATTTGTCTAAATATAGCTCTGCCTTCAGAGGCTTAGCTTCACTGACTGATGGTGTTGGTTTTAAAAATGGCTGTGAATTCAAGGCTAACTGGGGGTAAAGCTTTTCCAAGCATTAAGTGCAAAAAAAAAGTTTTGAGTAATGTACTCGGTTTACTCATGCTCTTATAGCTGCAATAACAGTCTGTTGATTGCTGCTTGAGAGGCTGTGAGCCAAAGCCCATCTCAGCAATCAAAACTAACTCTCAGTTACAGATTGATTGGCACTCATACAGTGGGATTGATGGCCAGTGTTAATTACTTAGAAATGAATAATTCAGCCCCGTAATGGCTGGATGAAAACAAAAAGCCCACAGTCAATAAGAAAGCTCCATCTGAGAAGATAACAGATTCCCAAGGGGCGAGAACAAATCAAGAGCACTTACAGCGGAACTGAAGCCTAGACTGGGCTGTTCTCCAACATGCTGATCCAGCCCCTCCCACAGTCCCTGATACAGGGCCCATCTGTGGAGAATATACATGATAATGCTTTCTTTCTTTATGAAGTATTGCAAATTTCATCGCATTCTATCTAATGTCATCTCCTTTCTCTAACAGTGAAAGAGGAAACCAATGAATGCTAAACTGATTCAAGAGGGGGAAACTAACGGTTACGTTATTGATCTTACTCATTGAAGCAGCAGCACCATCTAGTGGAGATTTGATTTTGAAACTTTTTGATGCCAAGAACTCTCGAACATGAAGATCGGTTTGCGATGAGCAATCTTTCTAAAATAGGAAGGCTATATATTTTCATGTATATAAAGACATTTATATTGTGTGGGAACAATATTGCATGTAGCCTAATATTATATGTACTAGCCTACAAGTTGAAATACACTACCAGTCAAAAGTTTTTGAATAGTAAGATTTAAATTTTTTTGTAAAGAATTCTCTTCTGCTCACCAAGCCTGCATTTATTTGATCCAAATAAAGCAGTAATATTGTGAAATATTTTCACTATTTAAAATAACTGCTTTCTATTTGAAGATATTTTGTTCTACTTTTCTTTCTCTCAGTCAGACAGAATAGCCTATCCTGTGCCAGTCGTTTGTGTGGAAGTGTGGTAGACAGGTGTACTTTGGAGCGTTGGCTCAGTTTATTTGTCAGCTCACTGTGGAATAATAAGGAACCGAATTTGGATTGATATGGCTTCATTCGGTCTTGTTCTATTCCCACATATTCTGCTGCAGACCTTTGCAGGTAAGACCTACAAAACCACTTACCTCTCTTATAAATCAATCTTCTTAGAGCTGACAGAGAACATACAAGGCACACTTGGCATTTGCCTTCTGACTTTCTGAGGGTTATTAAACATATTCACGTGCATGCTTTCAGTAGTTCCCCTCCAGTAAAGAATATAAACTCTCAAACTCTGTAACAGCCCCAGGATCAGTGTTCCTAGACGGGGAGAAAGCTGACAGCATTTTGAGGAGACCCAGGCGAGCAAACACAGGACTATTTGAGGAGTTTCTGAAGGGGAATGTAGAGAGGGAGTGTATGGAGGAGACATGTGTCCTGGAGGAGGCCAGAGAAGCCTTTGAAAATGATGAAAAGACAGTGAGTAGACAAGATGTGGTTCGTCAGTTGTCATGCATTGTGTAATATAGCAAATGTGTGTTTGGTCTGTTTTTCAGATGGAGTTCTGGGCAAGTTATGTTGGTAAGTGTGTTTAATCATTGACCGTCATATTTACCAAGGGCAAACAGGAGAACATCTCTATATGTCAAAAGAACAGTTCACCCCAAAGATGAAAATTTGCTTAAAATGTACTCACCCCAAGTCCATCCAAGATGCAGATGAGTTTGTTTCTTCATTGGAACAGATTTTTGGGAAATTTAGCATTAGGCTACATCACTTGCTGACCAATGGATTCTCTGCAGTGAATGGGTGCCGTCAGAATGAGAGTCCAAATAGCTGATAAAAACATCACAATAATCCACAAGTAATCCAAATTACTCCAGTCCATCCTTGAAGCAAAAAGCTGCGTGCTTGTAATAAGCATATCGATCATCAAAACTGTTGTTTCCAGCAAAATTGAAAGTGCTCCATCCATAATAATGCTTTCTCTCCTGATTCTTTCTGTCTTTCCTGAATCAATAGAGAAACATGCACAGAGCACCGTTTACAAGCGAAAACAGTCCAAAACAGTTCTAAACAAATATGTTGATGGATTTTGATGTGAGAGGACTACATGGGATGAATGTTTTCACTAGAGGAGGAAGCATCATTATGGATAGTATTTTAGTTATGGCCTCGTATTTTGGCCAGAAATGACAATTTAAGGTTAAAAACATTCTTATGATGTATGTTTAGGTAGCTATTGGATCAATAAATTAAATGATATTTGAACTGGACATCATTATATTCTTAAACTCAGCAAATAAAACTCAGGAAATAAAATGCATTTGGGTAACATTTAATTAGACAAATTATTAAAATAATTTAAACTGGTTTTGAATCAACGTCCTCTGTTCCTTATTCCAGAATTTGAATAAAGCAAATTATTTCTATAAATTTTTTCTTACCAGTTGTTAATAAATGATCCTGTCTGTTAGATGGGGACCAGTGTAAATCATCGCCCTGTCAAAACCGAGGCACATGTGAGGACCAGATGGGCACATACACCTGTAACTGTCTACCGGGCTATGTCGGCAAAAACTGTGAAATAGGTTAGACAGGATCTCTCTTCCCTCAAACACACAGTGCATCATATTTAGCTAGAATGAATGAATGACCATTCAATTCCTAAAGATAATTAAAAAGATGCTTTGTGCTGTTTCTCAGTAACTGCCAAAATGTGTGATGTTGATAATGGAGGCTGTGAGCATTTCTGTGTTGTGATGGAGTCTCATGAGACAGGATGTCGGTGTGCATCCGGTTACAGACTCAAAGAAGATGGATTCACATGTGAACCTATAGGTGATTTAATTACTTCGTAGATTCCTAATGCCCTCAACATCTGAAAGAGCTAGGTTACTTTCGTTCTTAAAGTACTAGTAGTTTTGTTTTTTAAAGAAAGGCACTGCAAGCAAGTTTTAATGCAAGACATTTAACAACAACAACTTATTATTTTTTTTATGTGTCACTAGTTAAGTTTCCATGTGGCAAAGTCACTAAAACGGCTGTGAGAACTTTTGCCAGCGGTCCAACGTCTGCACCGAACTCTGCACAATCTTCCAATAAATCCACATCCAGCACTTCCAAACCGGACAACTTGACAAGCCCTTCAAATTCTAAACAGAAAAAAGAGAAAATCGCGCCATCTCATGTTAAACTCCCTGAATGGGCATTTGAGGAGTATTTGATGACTCCTGTACCAACCGTAAGTGCCCCAAAAAGCCGTATTGTTGGTGGCAATCCAGCTTTACCTGGAGAAATCCCTTGGCAGGTAAAGACTATAAATATTATGTGCTATAGCAATCAAAAATGTCTTTGATCAAATCATCTCTGAGTAAATTAGTGAGTTACGGGCACATCTACTACAACGCAATCTGTTTATGCACCCAAAATCATGTCATTTATCCTGCTGATCTCTAGGTGGCGCTGGTGGCGCGCTCAACACAGCAGGTATTCTGCGGAGGCTCCATTCTTAACCAGTTATGGGTCATTACTGCAGCCCACTGTCTGGTAGGGACACAGAATGGATCCTTCTACATCAGAGTTGGTAAGACCTAAACAACAGCCAAGGAAATACTGATTACATGAAATTGCTGTATGGCGCCAATATTTAAATTGATAAAATATTTAAAAATTGCGCCGTTGCACTTCGGGCGTCTCGAGTTCGAGTCCCAGCTCGCTATGTAAGGTTTCCACAAAAATATTAAGCAGCACAACTGCTTTCACCATTATTAATAAGATGATATATTTGTTGAACACCAAATCAATAGACTATAAATAATAGCACGCTTTCTGAAGGATCATGTGACACTGAAGACTGGAGTAATGATGCTGAAAATTCAGCTTTGCCATTACAGGAATATTACATCTTAAAATACATTCTAATAGAGAACTTATTTTAACTTAATTATTTTAAATTGTAATAATATTTCACAATATTAGTGGTTTTACTGTAGCAAATAAATATAGCCTTGGCGAGCATAAAACAATTCTTTAAAAAACAAACATGATCTTATATGCAACATTGCATATCAGATAAATGTATCTTTTCTTTTTTTAAATATTCTTTAGATATTTTTTCCTGAAATTTTTACAATTCCAAGACCAGTTATTAATATTACTAACTAAACAACTATGCTTCACAGGGGAGCATGATGTCTCCAAGACTGAAGGCACAGAACAGAATCTGAACATCACCCGTTTCATCTCACATCCCCGTTATGACTCCAAAGTAAGCCTCTACAATCATGACATTGCCTTGTTGCGGCTGCGCAACCCCATCCGGTTTACCCTAACTGTACTTCCTATCTGCCTGGGACCCATGCTCTTCTCCAACTCACTGCTGCAGTCTGGATCTCTGGCTACTGTCAGCGGCTGGGGCCGTCTGCGCTTTCAAGGCCGAAGTGCAGTGAACCTACAGAAGGTTGAGTTGCCTTATGTAGACAGAACAGTGTGTAAGGAAAGCAGCAGTGACCCAGTCACATACTTCATGTTCTGTGCTGGATACTCAGATTCTCCTAAAGACGCGTGTCAGGGGGACAGCGGAGGACCTCATGCCATGCGCTACCACAACACCTGGTTCCTCACAGGCATTGTCAGTTGGGGAGAAGAATGTGCCAAGAAAGGGAAGTACGGTGTGTACACCCAGGTTGGTAACTATTATCGTTGGATACAGCACGTCATGGGCGTTACTAAGGGAGTACTGCTTAAAAATGTGGACCTATGATCTAGAATTCTCATTTTAAAATCTCATCTGCACACATGGAGTATTCAAATCTGGAGAGAAAAGATGCACTTGTTTAATCAGGTGAAATAAATACAATTAGATTGTTCGTAATCTGTAACTGTAATCTGTAACAGATTGTAGTCATGCCCTGCCCCCAAGTCCTGGCTGGCCAATGAGATTCCATCAATAAATGATCAATTATACATGACTTAGTACCTTCACTGTCCCATAAGGACATTTAATAATCCATAATTACACTGTTTTCTCCTGTGGTTTAATGAAAGCTGGTATGTTATTAAGCAATATACTGCCTTGCTACATGGTTAGAACCTGCTAAGGTTTCTTGACTGAGAACTCAATCTCTCATTCAGACAGAAAGAAGAAAAAAATGTAGCCTCTCAAGCTTTGAGCTGCAACTGCCTTCAGAGGGAAAACTGGAGGAACGTGAGGGGGGTTGACTGAAAATATCTGACACTAGAAACCTACTTAAGATTTCAACAGCGTTCTTTAAGACTCGTGACCTAGTTCTGAAAATCACTGGATCTTACCCATAAACCCTGGAGGCATCAGATCACTCACATCTCACCCGTGAAAGATCCTTTCATCATTTGAGGCCAGTCTCTGGGAGATAACAACACAGTTGATGTTTATGATGTATATGTGCCTTTGACTCTAAAATGTCTAATTCTAAAAATCTTGTTATAACTTGAACTATTTTTTATTATCATTATTAATATATTTGTACTAATTAAAATATACACTACCGCTTAAACATCTGGGGCCAGTAAGACTTTTTTTTTCTTTGGAAAGAAGTGTGTTTCATTCAAAGAGGATACAGTACAGACATTGATGTTCCAAAGATTTCTATTTCAAACAAATGGTCCTGAAAAATCCTAAAAAATGTAATACCGTTTCCACAAAAATATTAAGCAGTTTTCAACATTAATAAGTAATATGTCTTGAGCACCAAATCAGCATATTAGAATGATTTCTGAAGGATCATTTGACACTGAAGACTGGAGTAATGGTGCTGAAAATGAAGCTTTGCAATCACAAGAATAAATTACATTTTAAAATACATTAAAATAGAAAATAATATTTCACAGTATTACTGTTTTTACTGTATTCAATATATGCTCAGATCAAATAAATGCTTGGTCAGCAGACGTTGAAAAATCTTACCGACCCTAAACGTATAAACACTAGAGTAGTTAAATAATAATACTACATATATATTTTAGGCACAAATTATTTTACTATTAAATAGTTTTATTTAAAAAAATGTATTTCTTAATTTTCAATAGGCTGTACAAATTTAAATACAATATTGTTACAATACAATAGTCAACACAGATACATTCCTTCAAAAATAATTTATAAGCCAGTCCCCCCAAAAAAAAAAAACAGGATTAAATGCTATTAGATAAAGTGAGGTCCAAAGGTCTGAGACCATTAGTGAAAATGCTTTTGTTTAGCATTACCTCTGAGTGCAAAACTAAATTTACAAAATTAACTTGAAATTGATGGAAAAAACCTGATGCTCATGAAATTCTGATTCCCAGATTTTCAGTGTGCTCTCAAGACATTTGGACACGAATAAGCATATACTGTAAATATGCAAAGTTGACAGTATATATGGCTAATACAGCACAGTACAGGCAGTTGTGTCCTTTACATGGCTTGATTTTGAGTGGGTGGCTGGAGCTCCACGCTGGAAGGGAACAACTTGATAACGAAATTAATAACATAAGAGATATGCACTCCAAAGCGTCTCCTGCTGCTACACACAGCTCATTTCCACTTCAAACGCTGGTATATCAAAGTCAGCCCTCCAACTGTGGGCCTGATTTAATGTAGTAAATTCATATAAGTCTGCAATTAATATTTCATTAAGCATTCTAAACAGTGGGTATATTTAATGTTTGCTGTATGATCTCCCTTAATAAGAAACCTCCATTAACACGGCTCTGATTTTGCAGCCGTGCCACACATTCAACACAAATGCGCTCTGCTCACCCCCTCATAACTCATATTTGTGGCTCCAAAGTCAACATTTACATGACGGCCCCCAGGTCTTCAAGCTGGCAGAGTAGATTATGCATGTAAAGTGCCTGACAAGAGAATTTTACTAAATAAGAGAGGTAAGAATTTACGGCATGCAAAATTCATCCGGTTTAAAGCTGTAGAGAGACACAAAAGGCCACAAATGTGCGTGACCTGAATAAAGTGCTTATAAATATTTTTTTGAGGTAACTAGTGCACTACTGAGCAAAGTCTGCTTTAAATAAAAAGTGGGGAAACAGGCATTATGGCACTGCATGATTTGGCATTGAAGCTCTCGGGAAGAGCTCAGACTGAGGATAAATACAACAGTACAAGATAAATAACAGCACAAACAAACACAGTTTAAAAATGACGGTCCTTTATGAACAGGATGTTTTCATAGGAGAGGGTTAACCGTGAAGACAGCGACGAAGAGGCCTTTTGATGGGCCTTGATTCATTATTCAACAACTGCAAAGTCTACTGGGACAATCCCAGAGTCAGAATGTTCTAGGCTTCACCTAGTCAGGAGGACTGAAGTGTGTTTAGGCAGAGGACAGATGTTTAAAAGCGCTCTCTGGGTTTTCTGAAATGGTGGAGATCTCTTGTAAGATGTGAAACGCTTTGTCTTTTGCATTTTGGTAGCATCTGTCAATGAGGAGCAGTGCAAAAACTCTGGAATATAGGTCTAAATCCATGTAGTCACATACAGTCTGAGCTACCAAGCGTGAATATTAAAGGTCCAATATTGCACTGGGCCATTCCTTCATGGCGAGCTGAGCTTCCGTGCTTTACGATTCCCTGGGTCTGCACAGAAAATATGGCAGTATGGATCTTAAGCAAACTCATCTTTTCTGGGAACTACACTAAAAAGGCAGTGGATGTCCAAATGGACTCTCACCTCCAAGCCGGTTGGAGTGATTCTTGAGGCTTTCCCCCAGGATGCCCTGCAGGTTGGCAGTAGGGATACGGCCTTCCTGTCTGCGACTCAGATTCTTCACCAGCCTGTGACAGTACACAACTATACTGATTCACACCGCTGAAAATGAAGCTTTGCAATCACAAGAATAAATTACATTTTAAAATACATTAAAATAGAAAATAATATTTCACAGTATTACTGTTTTTACTGTATTCAATATATGCTCAGATCAAATAAATGCTTGGTCAGCAGACGTTGAAAAATCTTACCGACCCTAAACGTATAAACACTAGAGTAGTTAAATAATAATACTACATATATATTTTAGGCACAAATTATTTTACTATTAAATAGTTTTATTTAAAAAAATGTATTTCTTAATTTTCAATAGGCTGTACAAATTTAAATACAATATTGTTACAATACAATAGTCAACACAGATACATTCCTTCAAAAATAATTTATAAGCCAGTCCCCCCAAAAAAAAAAAACAGGATTAAATGCTATTAGATAAAGTGAGGTCCAAAGGTCTGAGACCATTAGTGAAAATGCTTTTGTTTAGCATTACCTCTGAGTGCAAAACTAAATTTACAAAATTAACTTGAAATTGATGGAAAAAACCTGATGCTCATGAAATTCTGATTCCCAGATTTTCAGTGTGCTCTCAAGACATTTGGACACGAATAAGCATATACTGTAAATATGCAAAGTTGACAGTATATATGGCTAATACAGCACAGTACAGGCAGTTGTGTCCTTTACATGGCTTGATTTTGAGTGGGTGGCTGGAGCTCCACGCTGGAAGGGAACAACTTGATAACGAAATTAATAACATAAGAGATATGCACTCCAAAGCGTCTCCTGCTGCTACACACAGCTCATTTCCACTTCAAACGCTGGTATATCAAAGTCAGCCCTCCAACTGTGGGCCTGATTTAATGTAGTAAATTCATATAAGTCTGCAATTAATATTTCATTAAGCATTCTAAACAGTGGGTATATTTAATGTTTGCTGTATGATCTCCCTTAATAAGAAACCTCCATTAACACGGCTCTGATTTTGCAGCCGTGCCACACATTCAACACAAATGCGCTCTGCTCACCCCCTCATAACTCATATTTGTGGCTCCAAAGTCAACATTTACATGACGGCCCCCAGGTCTTCAAGCTGGCAGAGTAGATTATGCATGTAAAGTGCCTGACAAGAGAATTTTACTAAATAAGAGAGGTAAGAATTGACGGCATGCAAAATTCATCCGGTTTAAAGCTGTAGAGAGACACAAAAGGCCACAAATGTGCGTGACCTGAATAAAGTGCTTATAAATATTTTTTTGAGGTAACTAGTGCACTACTGAGCAAAGTCTGCTTTAAATAAAAAGTGGGGAAACAGGCATTATGGCACTGCATGATTTGGCATTGAAGCTCTCGGGAAGAGCTCAGACTGAGGATAAATACAACAGTACAAGATAAATAACAGCACAAACAAACACAGTTTAAAAATGACGGTCCTTTATGAACAGGATGTTTTCATAGGAGAGGGTTAACCGTGAAGACAGCGACGAAGAGGCCTTTTGATGGGCCTTGATTCATTATTCAACAACTGCAAAGTCTACTGGGACAATCCCAGAGTCAGAATGTTCTAGGCTTCACCTAGTCAGGAGGACTGAAGTGTGTTTAGGCAGAGGACAGATGTTTAAAAGCGCTCTCTGGGTTTTCTGAAATGGTGGAGATCTCTTGTAAGATGTGAAACGCTTTGTCTTTTGCATTTTGGTAGCATCTGTCAATGAGGAGCAGTGCAAAAACTCTGGAATATAGGTCTAAATCCATGTAGTCACATACAGTCTGAGCTACCAAGCGTGAATATTAAAGGTCCAATATTGCACTGGGCCATTCCTTCATGGCGAGCTGAGCTTCCGTGCTTTACGATTCCCTGGGTCTGCACAGAAAATATGGCAGTATGGATCTTAAGCAAACTCATCTTTTCTGGGAACTACACTAAAAAGGCAGTGGATGTCCAAATGGACTCTCACCTCCAAGCCGGTTGGAGTGATTCTTGAGGCTTTCCCCCAGGATGCCCTGCAGGTTGGCAGTAGGGATACGGCCTTCCTGTCTGCGACTCAGATTCTTCACCAGCCTGTGAGAGTACACAGCTATACTGATTCACACCGAACCAATATCTAAATCCACTTTAGTGCCACGAAATTTGTGTTTTTGAGCTAATGCATTTAATCTGGTTCAATTTACCTATAGGTACCACAGAAAAAAGTTCACTCATAAAGAAAGTCAAGTCACCTTTATTTACACAGCAGTATCTGTAGCAGCTTCACATTATTAAACAGGAAAGTAACAGAATCAGTGATGCCAGCTGCATAAAACATAAGAGAAATCTAAATTCTGCTCTAAAGCAGCTCTAAAAAAAGCAATAGCTCCAGTAAGTTCAGTGTTGATTTAGTTCAGTTCAATAACTGTGTGTGCAAAAGTCTATGGATGGTGTAGGAGTATGAATGTGAAACTCATATTTTTGTCTTTAAAGTTCAGGGTTTTGCATCATGTAATATTGAACTGAAAATGCCCTTTAAACTCCAATTAAATTCCTGAATTAGAATTAAGGTTACAAACAAGATGTAGAATTTGAATTTTCAAAAGAAGGAATATAATGAAAGAAAATTCAAACTGTAACAGTCATTTTTGACCATTAAATCAACTTTTGCATTTGAAAGGGATCTACAGTAATTCTGAATTTTGCCCAATCCTAGTAAAGTTGACTAAATTGTTCTTCTTGATATGGGACTACATTT